TTGGGTCCTGTACACTGATGGCGCCAGCCTGGTGAAACAAGGACAACGGCTGTCAGGGTATGCGAGAATCATCGAGGCTGGTTCTCTGCCACCTCACTTGTCTGCTCAACAGACTGAATTATGGGCTCTCGTTCGGGCCCTCCCATTGTCAAAAGGTAAGAAGATCAACGTTTATATTGACTCCAAGTATGCTTTTGCTACTTTGCATGTGCATGGGGCCCTATACAAGGAGAGAGGGCTCTTGATAGCTAACGGAAAAGACATTAAAAACAAGGAAGAAATCTTGACCCTACCAGATGCTGTATGGGGACCTGAAAAAGTAGCAATAATATATTTCTGGGCTCTCCAAAAAGAGGGCTCCCTGCAGGCGTGGGGAAACCGACAGGCAGATAGAGCCGCAAAACCAGCCGCTGAAGAATCTGGAGGCACTGGGGTGGGATTGTTAAGACTTTTGTGCTCTTGAGAATGCCTGAGTTAACTTCAACTCTCCCACAGTATACCCTGGCCCAAGACCAAGCTGGCTGAAACAGAAAGGGCCACCAAGAATGAAAAGGGCTGGTGGGAATTGCTGGATGGCAGGTTGCTAGTTCCCGAGATATTGGCCTCTTCATTAGTGTCTCAGGTACCCCAGGCAACCCACTTGGGATGTGACAAAATGGAAGAATTAATTCAGAAATATTTTTTAATACCACAGCTTTCTTCCTTGTGTAAAATGGAATCCCAGAACTATTCTGCTTGCTCACAGGTCAATGCTGCCCCTGGACATAAGCAGAAATCTCCGGGAATACAATTAAAGGGTACTCTGCCCTTTGAACATTTAGAAGTGGACTTTACTGAAATGAGACCCTACTGGTATTATCATTATTTACTAGTCATGGAACATACCTTTTCAGGTTGAGTGGAGGCGTTCCCCACCTGAACTGAAAAATCAAATGAAGTGGCTCATTGTCTGATTTGAGAAATAATCCCCAGATTTGGGTTCCCAACCAGTATAGGATCCGACAATGGCCCTGCTTTTGTAGCCGATTTAATTCAACAAGTATGTAAACCTCTAAATGTCAAATGGAAATTACATACAGCATATAGGCCCCAGAGTTCCAGAATGGTGGAAAGAACTAACCAAACCCTAAAAGATACACTTTCAAAATGGATCATAAAGACTGACTCCTCATGGATGGACTTACTTCCGGTGGCCTTGCTCAAATTAAGAATGACCCCGTGTTCCCATGGTTATTCTCCTTATGAAACTGTCTATGGAAGACCCCCTCCCATAGTAAGACAGGTGTTGGCAAATTTGCCACGTAAGAGAGGAATGGGATGTCCCAGAGGATGGAACAATTAGGTAAAGTGATAAACCAGGTAACTAAGTGTGTCCAAGAATGGGTGTCATTCCCCCTTGGGGAGCAGATTCATGAATTTGCGCCCGGTGATCAAGTGTGGGTCAGGGACTGGAAGCATGACTCCTTGGCCCCACATTGGGAAGGTCCATATACTGTTGTACTAACTACACCTACGGCAGTTAAAGTTGCAGGTGTCACTCCCTGGATCCATCACACGAGGGTGAAGAGGACATACCATACAGACCTGGAGGACACTAAGTGGACTACACAAAAGGACCCCACTGATCTCCGTGAAACCAAGATCATCTTAAAAAGAAAAAAATGAAGCTCTGCAATCAACTACTACTACATGGACTTTCTGGTATCCTGGGACTAACCATAATTTCAGCACAAGACAATGTTTTCATCTCATGGGCACACTCCTACGCTGACTTCCATAATAGATCTAACTGCTGGGTGTGTGGAGCTATGCCCATGTCTGTCATGGATGGACTCCCATGGTGGGTGTCGCCTCTACGAAGGGGTGACATGCCTAGTTTATGTGACTATTTTCTTCAGATGAAACAACAGAAGTCAAGTGTGGAAACTGTCATTACAGCAGCCACTACTCATTGGTTTGATAAAAAGGCTGATGATCTGACAAAAGGTCATGGGATACATTTTAATTATATTCTTAGCTCAGAAAATGCTTATCAATATTATGTGACAGCCAATAAGTCCAAACAATAAAAAAAAAACAGGTATTTTGACCAATTTTACCAGATACGAAATGAATATATGTGGATTACTCCTGAAAAGGGATAACTTGTTATGATAGCTGACATTTGCTGGGAACAGGATGTACACACTATTGGATATAACCAGACAACAGACAAAATGGACTTGAAGCCAGTAGGCTTTATATGGACAGAACAGTGTTATAAGACCTGTAAAGTTATTTATGATACCAATTAATCCACCCAATGGCCTGGGATGGACTAGGGAGTCAACCCCGGAATCAGGTGGATTGCCCCAAACAGCACTCATTGGTTATGCAAGACCAATCTGTGGCCATGGCTACCCGCAGGGTGAGTAGGAAGATGTACTTTAGGTCTTGCCTTTGCCCATGGGAACATTAGGCCAACAATACAGGAGCCCTTAAATTTACCCTCCCTACTGGCCAGATGGTTATGATCAGTTTTCCATTGGTATGATTATTTGGCTACTGCATTTGTTCCTTCGTTGGGCACTACAGTTATAATCATTAGAGTTGAAGTCCTAACTAATTTCACCCAAAGGGCCCTAAATGACAGCCTGAGGGTAATTCAAGCATTAAATACTGAACAAATACAAATGAGAAAGGCAGTAATTCAAAATAGAATGGCTTTGGACATCTTGACTGCTGCTCAAGGAGAAACTTGTGCCAAAATAAAGGTTGAGTGCTGTGTGTATATCCCAGTCTTGTCTGGAAATGTTACTGAGGTTCTTAGAGATACGCAAGCTCCTGTAAAACAAATGTCAGATGACTCAGTACCTTTTTGGGCTTCTGTTTTGTGATGGATAAAGGGTGATTGGTGGAAGACTGTCAATCATTGTTACAGTTGCTCTGTTAATTTTGTTATGTGGACCTTGTATTCTCCAGTGTGTTGTCCAATTTGTGTCATTGAGATTGACTGCATTTACCCAAGTACATGCCAAAAGACCTAATGTGCAATATGTCCCTATGAGTGATACTCACACTAAAAGTTGAGAGCATCAAGAGGGGGGAATGAAAGAGGAAAGGAGCAGGTTGCCCTGACTGGACTAACTTAATTTTTAAAAGAAAAGGAACTCCATCTTACACTCTCAGCAAACTTTTGGACTGTACATCTGGGAGGCCATGGAGATAAAATACCAGTGGCCGAACAGGTCTCTGGAACAGATAAAAACCAGACCAGGCAGACTCCGTACCCAGACCTTCCAGAGCCAGAAGAAATGCAATGCCCACTATGTAATCAATCACTATCTTCTGTAATCTTAATACCTACTGATGTGGGCTAAACTGTATGTCCAGATAGCTTTAGAATGTGAATTTATGGCTAAAACCTGACTGTATCTCTTACTAACATTGTCCAGAGTGGGTTTTAAAGAATTTGGGGATGTGGGCTTGGCACATTTTGGGCATAAAAGGTTGTCACAAAAATTGGTCAGGAACCCTGGCTAAAGAGGAAACTCTACCTCGGACCAGCCGGTGTAATAAACTGCACTCCACTATTCACGCTGTCCTTCTGAGTAAGTTTGCTTTCTGGAGTGTTTGGCTACAACAGAGGGAAAATTAGTTTGTGATGTAACAGCAAATCTGTTGTTGGGGAGGGGGAAATTTCCCCTTCTCTTCTTGAGTACCTGTGATTGCAAGATGTTAACAGGAGAAAAAGAAAGAAATTTTGATTCATGAGCATGGAGGTCCCATAGAAATGGGACCTAAGAAGTGGCCAAATCAGGCAGCTTTTATACTTTTTAGACAAAGAAACTTAGGTTCTGGGTGCCCAGTTAGTGAAGAATCTAAATACAGTTTAGGCTTGAGGTAGTAAATTAAAGAAGGAAGGTTTGTTTATATAACCTTAACCCAGAATATCTTTGGTGCTAATGGTGTCTTTCCACCAAATGCATGGAGTACATACACCTTTCACAAGAGAGATTTCTTGCTTTTAGGGAGACAGAAAGAAGAGTCTTAAGAGTGTCGTTCTTGCAGTAGTACCAGATTCTTTAGTAACTTTAATTCAACATAATCAGTATGCCATTGAGGCACATTTTGGGTACCCTGGACCCCAAAACTGTGAAAACACAAATCCCAGGGAGAATAAAGCTCCCTGTCCTAGCGGTGGCTTAAATCAAGGCTACCTATACATCTGCCAGTAGATGTTTGTAACAGAAGTATAAATACAAATCATGCATTAACACAAATGTAAAACAGGTGCCAAATTTTAAAATAAAAGAAATAACTGTGACAAGTTAAAACTTTTAGACAATTTATTCACAAAATCAAATTTTAAATTAATATTTTAAAGTAAAAAAGATTTTAACTAAGTGAAAAGGTCACAAACGGAATTTTCAAAAATTAAGTCTAACTAAATTTCTAAAACTTTTATTTGCAAAGGTAAATTACATTCTCAAAACTTAAATTTTAAAAACTCAAATTTCTAAATTAAATTTTGAAAAACAGTTAACAGTCAAACTTAATTAATTAAAAAAATGAAATTTCAGTAAACTTCAAAAGTTGAGCCATCCCCCAACTGGAGCCACACCCGATTCCTCTGGGTAAAATGCTACTTTGACCTCTGAAATACAAAGAAAACTCCCCTCACTTCCAAAATAGTTCTCCAAAATTTCCGGAAGAGCATGCCTCATCCCCTCCTTTTGCATCTCACCACGGAATCCTCTAGGGTAAATTATACTTGAGGGTCTACCTCGCCTTTGTCTCTTCAGCTCGGGAGACAAGGGCTCTCAGGCTTTGAATCTGGCGGCTGACCCAGGGCCTGCCTCCGCCCTCTCCGCTAGTCCTGCACTGTCGGGCACGGCCCAGTTCTTTCTTGTCTTTTGGCGTCACTCGAGCTGGCCCCGCCCACCCAACGCAGGCCGTCGCACACGAGTGCGTCAGAGGCGCGACTCTTTACGGCTGCTCCGTCTTACGTACCGGCAAGCATGGAGGCAGAGGGTTTGGAGCCGGGCGCTGCGGAGCTGGGACCTCTGGAAGGGAGTGACCAGAAACCAGAGGCAGTGGAGGAACAGGAGGAATCCGAAGAGGCGGCTGGCGGCAGCAAGAAACGGGTAGTGCCGGGCATTGTGTACCTGGGCCACATCCCGCCCCGCTTTAGGCCTTTACACGTACGGAACCTTCTCAGCGCCTACGGGGAGGTCGGGCGTGTTTTTTTCCAGGCGGAGGGTAAGTGCTCAGGCCTTGATGGTGAGGGAAGAGGGGTGGTACTCGCTGGCACTGAATACACATTGCGTGTTTTGTTGCCTCAGCTGCGCGTGGAGGCTCTGACGGGGTCGGGGACCTGCGTCTGTTTTCTTTGGTAAATAGGTGACGCGCACGTTTCTTAGAAGGCTGAAATGGAATGTGGGTAGCCCTATATACCTAGCTGAGCCTAAGCTCTTCGCTACTTTTTGGATTCTAATCTTGGCTTCGCCCACGCTACTTTCTTGAGGCGAATTTGCCAGTTTGTTAAATGAGTACGGCCTGAATTAAAATCTCAGTGACTTTTCCACAAAACTGGACGTATCTCTTTGTCGTGTCGAGGCCCAGGTCAAGAGACAGTATGTGATAGGCCGCGCCCAACTCCCATTCAGTCACTAATTGGAACTGGGATTGGGGGCCGGTGCAGGTTTTAAATAGAAAGATTGGGGCAGACGTAATGAAGAAAGAATTAACATTTGAGGAAAAGGTTGAGTTTAGACAAGGGGTAAAGTGTGGACTATGCAGTTAGCCACTTCTGGGCAAAGACAAGGTGGGATCCTGGCCTGCGGGGAGGTCTGGAGAATTGGTAAGTGGGAGGTGCTGTTGAACGGATACTGTACGGGCCTCTTTGACCACTGCTTTATCCTGGACTCCAGACGGGTTCGTGCGGCGCAAGAAGAAGGCAGCAGCTGCCTCCGCGGCCGGAGGGAAAAAGCGGTCCAAATACAGCAAGGACTACACGGAGGGCTGGGTGGAGTTCCGGGACAAGCGAGTAGCCAAGCGTGTGGCGGCCAGTCTTCACAACACGCCCATGGGCTCCCGCAGGCGCAGCCCCTTCCGTTATGACCTGTGGAACCTCAAGGTGAGGGGATTGGCTTGTCTGCCGCACCACTCATTCTCTCGCCTTTGCGGCCACGGCCCACGCACCCCTATCATCTTTTGGCCCCCATCGCTTCCATCGACTCCCCATCTCTGATCTGCCCTACTCAGATCTTTTCTTGTTTTCCTGTCCACAGTACCTGCACCGTTTTACCTGGTCCCATCTCAGCGAGCATCTTGCTTTTGAGCGCCAGGTGCGTAGGCAGCGTCTGAGGGCTGAGGTTGCCCAGGCCAAGCGTGAGACTGACTTCTATCTTCGAAGTGTGGAGCGCGGACAGCGTTTCCTTGCGGCTGATGGGGACTCTGCCCGCCCGAATGGTTCCTGGGCCTTTGCCCAGCGTCCTACTGAGCAGGAGCTGAGGGCCCGGAAGGCAGCTCGGCCAGGGGGACGTGAACGAGCTCGCCTGGCTAACGCTCAGGACCAGGCCCGCTCCAACCGAGGGCTTCTTGCCAAGATCTTTGGAGCTCCTACACCCTCAGAGAGCAGGGAGGACGCCTCACTGGTCAGGAACTCTTGAGGGTCAGAGAGGCCCCCTTCCACCTCCTAGCCCAGCCCAGCGTCCTGTCTACCTTCTAATGACTACCCAGGCGGACATTTTATTGTGTTTCTCAAACCAGAAGTCTGAGTTCCTCAGACAGAAGTTTTGTAGGCCTCTCCTCTTCCTCCTCCCAGCTCCTGTACATGCCTGGCTGAGGCACTTCGTTGTTACTAGCATGATTATGACTACTGCTCATGTCTGTTTTACCTTGTTCAGTTCGTGGCTTCCTGTCTCCTGCCCACTGGGACCCTTTAAAAGTCCTACTTTCTTGCCCCAGGAACAGCCTTTCCCTTGATTTAGAGTGATAATGGCTAGTAGACGGCTGTTTATCAACCACATTATTGGGCAGCAGCAACATCCTTTTTATTTAGAAAAGGTTAATAGGGACAGGGGTTAATGGGCTAGAGTGGCTTGGGAGCCACCTTCAACATGTATTTATAGAATAGAAAAAGATATATGTAAATACATATTTTTAAACATGCCTTTGTAGTTTATGGGGTGGGGAGTGGAGATGGTCATTGGATAAGTTCCAACTTCTGTGTGTTGGACAGAATTCACCCACCTTCGTTCCATCTCCTGGACACAGGATACCTCCCTCTGTTTTAACCTGGATAGTTTTCTATCTAATCAGTTTCTTAGGCCATGTTGTTAACACTCACCTAATTCAACATTTACCTATCTAATCAATTTCTTAGGCCTTGTTGTTAACATTTATTTAATTCAGCATTTACTAAGTCACTATATGAGGACACATGGCCCTTGGTGTAAGTCTTATAGACTGCTAAAAAAGACAGATGCTTAAGAAATAAATGTATAGAAGTACTATAGGCATCATGCCAGATGTAATTAAGAGGTAGAGTGAGGCCATGGGAAGGCCTGATTGATTCTATCTGGGAAAGTAAGCAACATCCTGAGAAGTGAACCAAAGTCTGACAGAGCCTGATGCACTCCTGTAATTGTGAACAAAGCTCCACGGATGGCGTGTTGGGTTCAGACCATTGTAAAGGTAAGCAAGGCCTAGGAGCTAGTTGTGCACACATGATGCCCTTCGGGTGCATTTATACATTTTGTCTACCCTTAGACCAGGGAAGTTCACAAACAACATGCAGAGCAGTTCTGGAGGTGATATAATGCATGTAAACCACTGAGGGGAACTGAAAACTGAGATGTCAACAAAAAACTGGAAAACGTCTACACACAGCCTCACAATAGACTAAAACTCTGGCTTTTAAACTTACAGGAAGTGTTAGAACGGTAATAATAAGTCATTTGAGTTTTGCTTGCACCATTTATTTTCTTAGGTTCTTTTTGTACTTTATGCTTAACTGTCATCAATATAATTATCAGTGTGTTCTTTGGGTCAAGTGGATTCATCTACTTTGGCTCTAAATAACCAAGTTTTGTTAAGATCTCAGCTTGATAGCTGCAGTTTATTTGGGAGGAGAGAAATGAATTATGGTCCATTAGGTGTAACATTTTTCACAATCCTTATGCCTCCTATCCAGCACACAAACACATCTGTGTAGTGTTACACCCTTATCTTAGGAACTTGATATTTTTGTTTCTGTGTTCATTTTGTGGGTTTATTCCATGTGGACTCTTAATGATGTCTTCCATGTGAACCAGGAAGATCCAGTTTCAGAATCTGACAAGCTGTCATATTCATTTATTCAAAGTTCTGTTGTCACCTCTCCTACATAGAGAATACCAAGATGAAGAAACCTAAGTTACTAACAGTAAAACACGTAGGGCTTAATTTTTTGAAGGAACGAACTTGTGTTTCCAGATTGATGTTATATGTAAGGATATTCAAAGTCGGCATTTCAGCCTCAAGTTTAAACAGTTCTGCATGTAGAGCTCACACCTATGGGTGAGTAAGTCACAAGTGGAGTGAAAAATGAAAATAAGAATGGGTGGAAGGAAATCAATTTCCCAGGAACTATAATCGTGATTCCCTCACTTCTAAGCCCTTTGAAAGGAAAATACCTTTTTTATACTTCCAGTTTTCTCCGCATTTGAACAATGCTTAAGTTTTTTTATGTGAATTAACTTGTTTAATAAACAAGCATACAAAATCATACCATCGCCACATTTCCATCATTAAAATTAGGCTCATCTATGACACAAGTTGCTCCTTAATGTTTTTTATTACCAGCGTCTTCCCCAGTGTATATGGTAAATATTTATTGCATGAACATCATGTGACTTATAGTGAAGAGTTACTGCAAATATGAATGGATTAATCTAATACCAAGTGTTGCAAACTGGGTGATTTAACACTCAACCATCCTCTATATGATTAGACTAAGTTACCAACCTATTGTTGCAATGAATTATTTGAATCAACTTAGTTACACCCTATCCAAGAAGCTAGGACCCTGCATTTGCAGAAAATAATAAATTGGTAAAATGAGGAATGGGATCCTGCTTAAGAGAGTAGGAGGGCTCTTGATAGGTGTGTCCAGGCTTGTGAAATTATCCCTGAAAATGTCCAAAAGTCACCAAGCACTCTTCCTCAGTTTACTTTTCCATTGTTCTTCATATCTCTGGAAGTAGTCTTGTAACATAATACTGGTATTACAGTAGAATTGAAGGGGAAAAATCCTTTGTCTAAGCCTCAGGAATGTGCCGTTTCCCTAAGAGAGTTAATATTTCAGTGGATTGCTTGTGGTCCCTGACTTAAAATGGTTCAGTGTTTAATTTTTCAACTTCAGTGCAAAGATGGTGCACATTCAGTAGAAACTACTTCCAGTTTTGAATTTTGATCTTTTCCATGGCTAGTGAGTGCTAGTGAAAAGTGGTGTGATACTCTCCTGGAGCTGGGCAGCCATTCAATCATAAGGATAAATGATTACTTTTCACTCTCAGTACAGTATTCAATAAATAATATGAGATAATCAACACAGTTATGAAATAGGCTTTAGGTTAGATTTTGCCCAACTAGTGAAAGTGTTCTGAGCACTTTTAGGGTGGAGTAAATCATCTGCCTGCAATGCAGGAGACTCGGGTTAGATTCCTGAGTCAGGAAGATCCCCTGGAAAAGGAAATGGCAACTCACTCCAGTATTGCCTGGAGAATCCCATGGACAGAGGAGCCTAGTCTGATAGACTTGACGACTAAACCACCACCACCAGGTTACGCTATGCTGTTCAGTAGGTTAGGTGTATTAAATGCATTTTTGAATTACAGACGCTTTCAACTTAGATGGGTTTATTTGATGTGACCCCATCCTCAACAGAGGAAGATCTGTGTTAATTAGATTTCCCAACCTTTAAGAGAGAGTCCCACATCCAATTCCCAGCAAAAGCGGTAATTTTTTGGTAAAGGTCCCCACCATTCTCACACCAACACAAAGCTGTCTGAGTAATAAACTCAGCCAGGGGAAATGAAATGGAAAGAAGCAGGTTAAAGTGTTTGCTTTTCTAGGCTCTTAATTTTTTTTTTAATACGTTAAAATGCGGAATACCCCCAGACTTGAACTAAGCTTCCATGAACAGCAATGTAGTTTTTTGGCTTTCCCTTTCCTCAGCCTCCCCTCTCAGGCGTGCTATCAACTCAAGAGGATACAGAAGAACTTACAGAGGAGCCTGGTGCAGGCACAAACGCCAGTTGTGTCCCAGGATACTGCAAGATGGGAGAGGGCGTGGTTGGAATTACCCTGGAAACCACAGGGGAAGGATAAAAGGGGAGGGAAGGACAAGAAAATGTATTTGAGAAGCACATCTTCTAATGTGTAGAAGGGCTTCAGTGGGTGAGGGCTTCAATGGGTGGCAGCTTCCAGAGCGAAGACCTGGCAGTGACCCAGGACTGGTCTCAAGGGACCTGAGAATAACCAGGACTCTGTCAGTTCCTGCCCACTCATCCCACCCATGAGGTACTGTGTGTGATTGAGTTAAGGGTTTCTATTTAAAATATATTTTTATGTATATAATATATACTATATATATAAAAAGAGAAAATAACCTTATGAAAAATGTGCACTTTGGGGTACATTTTTTTGATACTATGGCACCTATTTGAACGTTCAGAACAGAAATTCATAATGAAGCACTAGTTAATATGAAGTAATAAGACAAGGGAGACCAGAGTTATGGCTTTCACTTAACTAAATGTGAAAGTGACCAAACTTTACTCACCTAAAGGAAACCCTCGCCTGAGTTCTTTTCAAGGAACAACTTGCTAGGCTTGACTTTCGTGGTGCTCATTTGTTTCCCCTCAATTTTTCCAACTTTCTATTGGAAAACTTAACAACAGATTTTCTTCTAAATTATTTCCCCCTCTTCTTTGCTCTTACTGGTGTCTTTCCCATTTAATGTATCTTCATGTCTATGGAATCCTTCCAGGGGTTTTCCATCAATTGAATTATTAGCGAAAACTCTCTTACTGAAATGAGAGTAAATTCTGTCCGGATGTTTTTCCTTAGATTACGCTCATGTTCGGGTAAACAACAGTACCGCGTCCCAATCCCCACTTAATTGACACTCCGCTTTTCCTCTACTAAGAGTAGTATCTATATTATTACCCAGCAAAAGATACATTTCTAAAATGTTATATGCAGTTTAAGCTGAAAAAATAACATTCTTGGAAGAGAAGTTTTGTAGCGTCTTCGGCTCTGTGGCGCAATTGGTTAGCGCGTTCGGCTGTTAACCGAAAGGTTGGTGGTTCAAGCCCACCCGGGGCCGACTTTGACGGATGTAATGAGATCTGTCAGGAACCTTGTTTGTGGGTTTATTTACTTTCTTGATTCTGATTCCCTATCATGCTCTGAAAATCTTTACTTATTAAATGAAAATCTTACCAACATGTTTCCTATAGTTATCTTTGGGAAAGCTTCATTGAATATTACAGGGCTTTTGTGATAACTGAGGGATAGAGTGAAGGTGTCTCAGGAAATCAGTAAGTTAAGGGTGTCTGCTGGTGCTTGAGAGACCAATCTGGAGAGATACAAATATTTTCATGCCCCTCTGCTCTATATAGGG